CCGGCCCGCGTCCACCCCAGTCACCCCCCCCGTCCCTTCCCCCCATCGCTTCCTCTTTTCCTAGGGGGCCCCCCGTTTCCCTGGAGCCCTGACACGAGGTGTGCCCGGGATGGCTCACGTTTTGTGAACCCTTCACTCGACCACAGAGCGATGGAGCAGATTCGGGGCGGGGTGGGTTTCTGGCGGGGGAGGCGGCGCGACCACAGCCGGGCGCCCTGCTGCTGGGGACTGGTCTCCGTCCAGGACTGTGAAGCTGTGTTATTTTTTTTCCTCGCTTGCAGGTTTGTGAGATGGCTGCTGACATTTCCGAATCCGGGGGGCATGAGTGCAAAGGAGACTCCAGGAGCAACACCAAGTTAGATGCGGATTATCCGCTGCGCGTCCTCTACTGCGGAGGCAAGTGCGGCGGCGCGGAAAGGACTGTTGTGCTTGCCGGCGTGTGTGTGCCCCTGTGGTCGTCGGTGCACGTTTGGTCCTGGTGATCCTTTCCCAGCCTGTCTCCGTCGCTGGGTGAAGCCTTAGTTTGGGAAGGGGGAGACGGGTTTTCCCGGACCCGTGTGTTACTACTTGGCCCCTGGTGAAGCTCACAGTCCTGTTGGAATAGAGACATGCGAATAGATTATTTCAGCCTGATGTTACTGGCTACTCTGGCTATTAGAGGCGGGCTTCCTGGAGGATACTGGGTCTTAGGGAACGAAGGACAAGGGAGTGGGGGAAGGAAAGCTTGGCACGGGTCTTGGAGGCACCTACTAGTATCTGGACTTGAACCGTGAGGGTTAGAGGCTCTGGTTAACCAGGGGGAGCGTTAGTAAACTTGAAATAGGGAGATGCTAGATTCCTGCTTTCTCCTGCCACACACCACCTTTGTCATCGGATGTGTGACATAACCTTTTTTTGTTGGCGCTTCCGATGAATGGCGATGACGGGGTAAGGAGGCAGATCACGGCCATCCGGCTGGCACGCAGCTGCTGCCTGATCTGATTTAGCGGTTAAGGGCATGAGCTTCAGAAACAGGCCAGGGTTCAAATCCTGTTCTGCTAACCAGAGGCAGGTGGGTTACTTATTGTCAGTCTCATTTTTTTCCCCATCTGTATCTGACAGATACAGCGATTCTTAGCTCGTAGGGTCCTGACGACTAAACGTAATCCTGGGTAAAAAGCACAGCAAAGGGCCTGACACACGGTAGGCGCCCGCTATGTGGTAATTGCTGTTGTTAGTAATGGTGTACCACTCCCTGCCCTCCCAGATCTCAGGATGTTGGGCACCATGAACTACTCGATTTTTACCTTAAAAATGAAAACAAAACACACAACTTACCCAGTAGTAGAATTACAGTTCAAATTGGAAAACCATCTGAGTTCTCTGGCTCCTTAGCCCTTGCAGGCTATACGGTGACAAGATTGCACCAGCGTTCCAGCCAGCTTTACAAGCTCTCGATCTTACCTATAGGAAATGAAAAGTAGGTTGCAGAGAAGTGGTAACAAAGTGCTACTGAAGTTTATAAATGTGTTTGTGTGAATAAAAAGCCATGGTGGTTGTGATAAAGCTATTCAAAGAAATAACCAGCTCCATTCAGGTCTTGTTGTATGGAAATTGTTCCCACTTTGGCTTAGCTTTAGACCCACCCAAGTGGTTACAGCGAAACCATATGGTATAGTTGGAGGTTCCATCCACTGGAGGAGACATTCTTTAGATCTGAAAGATCAGGATAATGTTTCTATTAACCATGTGCCTTTTGCCTAAAAAAAAAAAAAAAGTCTGATGGATAGCATTTGAAAAGTAGTACAGAAAAAATATAGGAAAAAGTAGAAATGAGGCATTTGTGAAATTTAAAAGATAAAAGTTACGGTGAGTGGTGTGTGTATACATTTAAATTAAAAAAACCATTTTTTTTCTCTCCATTTCCCCAGTGTGCTCATTACCAACAGAGGTAAGTTCTTCTAGAGTTCTTTCACTAATGCATTTGAGGTCATCGATTTTACAGCTCGAGAACTTTTTTCTTATTTTTCATTTCCTGTCACTTGATAGTAGATTTTCAACCTTTTTATAGAGACATTTGGTTTAGGATAATTTCATGGTTGTACAAATTGTCAGATTTCGTGTACATCTTGTGCACTTGGCTGTACAGTTTGGGTTTTTTGCATGGAAGTTATGAGTAGTCCGTCAGCTAATAAAACAAGAGTCACCTTAAAGACAAAACTGAACGTCAGAGCAGAGGAAAGCATGAATTGTGTGTAAACCTTCTTTTAATGAGCTTGTTAGTCAGGCTCTGTGGGCAAAGCCATGAAAATAATGAAACACCCCTGTGCCCAGAGCAAGAAGGAGACATGCTTGGTTTTTTAGTCTGTGTGTTCCTTTTCTAGTGGCCCTTCTGTTTGAGGGAGAATAAATAAATTACTACAGCAGGGAAGTGCCTAATTCCTTTTAATTTCTGATTTCTTGTGGGGCGCTTCCTGTTGAATGCAGATTTCTTGCAGTTAAGACGGGCAGGTGGGAGTAGTTAGCGTTCTTTACGTAGCAGGTGCAGGGAACAGCTTTGATTTGTACGGGTTGATTGAAAACATCTTCCTGTAACGAAGTGTGTCCCTTTCTTCCCCAGTACTGTGAATATATGCCAGACGTTGCTAAATGCAGACAGTGGCTAGAGAAGAACTTTCCAAATGAGTTTGCAAAGCTTACAGTAGGTATGAACTTTTTTGTTTTTCATTAGAACTTGTAGATCTGAAACAAATGCACATAAGGCACTGTTTTAAAGATAGAAAGCCTTCCTTTAGTGAGATAATTACAGAATTATAATAACCTGTATCCGTGAACATTAAAACTGTTTCAAGTTCTTGGGTTAAACATCCTCATGTAAAATCACACACTGCTGCTCGTGTCCTCTCTCCGAGTCAGGGCATGTCCAAGTGTCACCATTTTTTGGAAATTATGTTCTAGAAGGGGACATGGACAGAATAAGTATAATAAGACAAACAGGGAATAGGTAGATAGGAATGATGGGGAGGGCCCTGGCTGGTGCGCTCAGCGGTTAGCGCATCGGCCTGCACAGCCAGGGGTCACGGGTTTGATTCCCGGTTAAGGGCACGTACCTGCGTTTCAGGTTTGATCCCTGGCCCCTGTTGGGGCTCATACGGGAGGCAGCCAATCAACGTGTCTCTCTCACATCAATGCCTCTGTCCCTCCCTCCCTTCTACTTTGTCTAAAAATCAGTGGAAAAGGCATCCTCCGGGGAGGGTTAACAACAAAAAAGTCACACTCAGTTGTTGGTAAAATTGCTTACCTGTGTGTGGGGTTGCTCAAAGGTGGTTTTTTAACAGTAGGAAGGGGGATGTTCATGCTTTTGAATTTTCATGTTTACATGTAGAAAATTCACCCAAACAAGAAGCTGGAGTCAGTGAGGGTCCAGGCGCCGCAGGGGAGGAAGAGGAGAAGAAGAAACAGAAGCGAGGTGAGGCCCAGCCCCGGGCGGCGGACGCCAGCTGCCTTCCCTCTGTGACGGAGGCGTTTGGGGTGCGAGGAACACCCGCCTGGTCCTGTGACTCATGAATATCCTTCAGCGGGAGACAGCCCTGTTTTCAAGGGGGGGGCTATGTTATGATTTGGGCTTTATCAGTAAGTTAGACCTAAGAAACATGCTTTATTTGCCGTATATATACAGGAAAACCAACCTGCCAGCTTGTTGATTTGAAAACTTTGTCGTTTTACTAAAATACCTGTGTATTTAATTAGAGTGAGGACATTTACGTAAAATTTCTTTCATTACTTGTGACAGCTCAGTTGAGGTTTTTTGTTTGTTTTTAAGTGATGTTGCATATACTTGTCTCTCCTAAGACTCACGCCTTGTCCTCCGGACCCTGTCCCCGCTGATTCTCCATCCTTAATTATTTTCCCCTGTGATTAAAATTAGCCTCTACATATTTTTCAGGACTTAGTGTCTTTTAAAAAAATTTCCCAAGAGCCCATATCTTTTGTTGCTTCACCCCCCTGCCTCCCTTCCTACCCTGGCGCCTGGTGCACGTTACTTAAGTATCGACTGAAGGGCTACCCAGGCAGGTGCTCACTAATTCTGTATTACAACAGGAAGGTGCAGAAATGAAATGCAGTCCCTTCAGGGAATGAACAAAGTTAAAGACAGTGTTCTGTAATTATGTGTAAAGTGAATCAATTAATGCTGAGCTCTTTCTTAATAAATAAAGGTGGAAGGGGTCAAATAAAACAGAAAAAGAAGACCGTTCCTCAGAAGGTCGCCATAGCCAAGATCCCCAGGGCCAAGAAGAAGTACGTAACCAGAGTGTGTGGCCTTGCAACTTTCGGTGAGCTTAAGCTTATGTTTAAAATGTGTGAAAAAATATATATATATACATATATATGTGTATATATATTTTTTCTCTCTCTAAACTGGAGTCAAAAATTTCACAGGTCTGTTGCTAAGGAGATACAGAATGAGATTCTACATTTCTTACTATAGCTTCAAAATCAAATTTTGAAGAAGAAATTTTAATATCTTTTGCAGAGGGAACTGGTTTAACTTTTTCCTTTCCAGTTTCCTGCTTGGGCACATT